TTATTGGATTCTTCTTACTTCCTAATCTTTCCTTCTTGAACAAGGCAAATGTCCTTCCCCCAGCCTTCATGGATAACCTCTCCAGCAAATTCTTCTAAGGGATTATTAAATATTTGGACTGTGAAATTGTGTGGAGACTTTTGGAACAGAAGTGGAAAGATGTAAATTCTGCACATACATCATAGTGACATGTAATTTGATTAAACTATTTGAGGTCTGTAACATCTAAGGGACAAAGTAAACTTCAGACTCCATTAGTAGGAAAATCAGGTTTTCGGAGTCAAAGGTTCCAGGGATTTTTATCTGGGACCTTGTGCAAACTCATCGTTAACTTGCCTGATTGTGGAGGTTGGGACAATAAATCTCTGCACAGGTAGGAGCCTGTGAGGCGCTGGGGCTGAGGAGGACTGCAGCCGGGGGCGATGGGGATGCACTCAGAGCGTGCCCCTGAAGAACAGAGTTAGACAAGGTGCACTGCAGCGCCAGCCTGAACACGGGGTCTTGAATCAGATTTCCCCAAATCCTTAATGTATCATTCTAATAACTGAATTGTACTATTGTGGGAGCCTTGTAATGAGGTTTCTCCCTAGGTTTTTTCTCAGCCATGAGTGATGCTGCTTGAGATTTACTTTTATTGCTACAATTTGTCAAAGGGTATTCCAGTTTATCCAGTGAACATGACACATGGTGAGGTAGATTAAGACAAGAACTTTATGACTGTTAATACCAAGTAATTAGACAAGAAAATTTGGAATACACTTTTGGGAAAACGTCAGTCATTTTAACTACACACAAGTTTATTTTTGATGGATTTTTTTCCATACAATCACAGCATTGCAAAAATCCGTTAATCAGAAACTGATTTTTTTTATCGTGTTTCATTGTCAATGTCTAGGGTTTTTTTAAAGATTTTTCTTGATTTTTTGGACTTTCTCTCTGTTTAAGTCTTAATTCTGTCCTTTACCACTCTTTTTGTGCCTGGTTTTAGGAGAATTTTCCTTGTCTTTTCACCCACCAATGCCATTTCCTGCTTCAAAAGTGAAAAATAGTTATCTCCTCTTTGAATACAACTTTATCAGCTTTTGAGCACATATCTTATGATGATACTATACTTCTTTACTTGCTGGTAAGAAAGTAATGTTGGACTTTGCCTTGGTCAAAATACATAGCATCTACTGTTTATTTCTCATCTGGTAGGGCCTTTACACTGTCGTGACCTAATATGTTTTTGAAAAATTAAAATTTGAGTAAGATTTAGCTTTTAAGGATTGAGAAATCGATAGTGTATTACAATTGTTCAATCTAGACACAAGACTGAGAAAGGTTAGAATACAGAAAATTTCAGCCTTTCCCATTTTCTGAAAAAGGTATATCTTCCCCTTGCAGTAGTCTTCTGTGGCTCCTCTGCCTTATATGATTTTCTTTTTAATTACTGTCCATGTCTCAAAGGTTACTTGAATGAATATTTTTTCCATGTATAACTTGTCCTTCAGGTAACTTGCACCTCTTTAAACATCATGCAGATAATCCAATACTTTTGACAACTGCTGGCAGTTAGATACTAGATATTACGAGAGTTAGAGATAGAGAAGGAAGAGAAGTACCAGAGCAAAAATTTCATCATAATATTTACACATGCATGTATCTCACAGTGCTGAGGAACCAGAAGCCATTCTTTAGTTTGGTGAGGCTTTTTCGTTTTCCACAAATAAACACAGTTTACCCACATGAAGACACAGTAATTCCTTAAGCATTCTGTGCTGAATTTCATCAGGCCTCTAACCTGAACTGTCTGACCTCATATAAATATTTCTCTTCCTGTTTTTTTTTTCTCCTGTACTTTGCCCGGTAGTCTTATCTTCATGTCAAAATTAATTTTGGGCATGTTCACAGAGCTGATTGCAGGCAGACTTGAACTTTGTTCCCGGCGGGAGCCAGCTGGCTGGGGGCCAGCTCTGGCCACCTTGCAGCGCTTGAGCTGATGAGCCGTACTTCTCAGCAGGTCCCGGTAAATGCACGGGAGCAGCACGCAGGCTGGGTCACAGCTTGCAGTTCAGAGGCAGCTTGTGCCTGCCCAGTTGAGAGCGTCGGCAAGGAGAGCTCACGCCTGCGTGTCATTCCCTGGGCAGGAAGACCTTTATCTGAACACAGTCTCCCTCCTTCTGGACACTCAAACAAGGAAGGCGTTTAATAATCTTCTGTACTTATCTGTACTAACCGTTACCCCTGTTCTCATATCATAATGTTTGCCTTTTGCTGGGGTTTCTTTTTGCCTTACCTTATAACATGTTATTGAAACCTTTTATTATGACTTATCTTGTGCTTTGCTAATTAAAACTCATGTTCTGTTTTAATTTTTCTGCTTTTATCTCCAGAGGGATGGTGGCGCAGGGAGGCTTAGACTCATCCTTAGTAGCACACACATTAATTTCTGCTTTTCCCATGATCTCTTTTTCATGTTTTGTTGATTGGAGATCGGCGGTGTGGTTACACTGGCCTGTCAATACACTTTTTCTCTAAAGGTACTTAGACATTTAGTACGGTCTCTTTCAATAGCTGCCATCTCCCCTCCATCTCCTTGTCCCTCCATTTACTTTCCTGAGAGCCCTCCTTCGCCTGGCCTCTGAGCCTGCTGGCCCTCATGCTGCTGTACTCGTCTTTGCAGAATACCAGACTCATCCTGCCATTGCTTTCACTCCAAGTACTACACACCTGCAAAGTCTTGGTTGGGTATTCTCTAATGGAACAAAACGCATTTTATTTGTTCCCTCAAAAGTTTCGTTCGGTTTCCGAAAGGAGAAAGTGTCCTCGGTACACTTTCACACTCAGCATTGGTCTGAAGTGAGTCCCTGTGTTAGAAGCAGGTCCCGCCATTGAGACGCACCTTTTTGTCCTTCAGAAAAGCCTTGGCCAGCTCTGCATCCTAGTGAGCTGAAGTGACATTTCACAACATTGAAGATCCTGCACCCTTTGCCGTATTCTGTTTAGCGCCCATGCTCCCTCCACCACTCATGTGCAAGTCCCAGTAAAAGTTTAATGAGTTATTTTAGCTAAATACTGAAAAAAGTAATATCAGATTTATCCTTGCTTGATATAATCTCTCTGAGAGCCTCTCAGAACTATTTCTTGCAGTATTCTTGCTGACCGAGGGTAGCTTTTGGTTTATGTATGAAACAACAGAGTCCTTCTCTTACATCGTAAACATATAGTATCTCCTCGTAGCCTGATGTGACATGAACGCCAAAAGCAATTTTGTGATTTGCTCAAAACCTCATGGGGTTGCCTCAAAATCAGAAGACGTAACTGCTACTCCCCCCTTAATAAAATCTGAACCCCAGCCAGTTTCAGCTCAGGAGCTGTCTGGGCTAATGTGGTTTCTATGTATTTGGTAACCCTCACTGCATCCTTTTTCCAGAAGTTCAGCTTAAACCTCTAAACAGAAATTAAAGTTCCTGTTAGCAGGAAAATGATGTGGTTGTGCTTTTCCTCTTGGCCTCTCCCGAGATACTCTTCATGCCTCTAAGGAAGAACTGTTTGCCCTCCCCAAGAGCAAAAACTGTATATTTAAATGATGGTGACTTTAAGCTTTATATGATTGACATTGTTAAATTACTTTTATAGCTTCTTGCTTCTCCAGGATTTGCTGAGTGCTGCCATTCATTGCTTAGGGGTTCCTCATCTTTCCATTTATGCTTCTACTGGTCAGTGATTTCCGTGGCACTGCGAAGGAATAGTTGATAGGAGATTGACTTATTGCTGCTCCATTACAGAGCACAAACCAGTTTACGAGAGACTTGTCTCAGCCTTTAAACTTAGCTTGTGATAGTTTCTTTTTTACCCTTTAATTCATTGCTATTGCTTGATAAATAGCAATTTCTAAATCGCTGCTATTAAAGTTGATTGGTCATTGTTACAATACAGAGAGATACAGAGAGATTTTTCGCAATATATATTTAAGCTGGCAGCAGGTGTGATTCTGTCACCCATCAGCCCTGTTGGTTTCCAGATTAACAGTAAAACAATTTTGAGGAAAGTGGGCAACAAGAGAAGTTTCCATTTTTGCAGCTGGAAGATCTTTGAGAAAAACTAGTAAGAAGCAGATAGTAAAGCAGAAGTTTTTCCTAAGGAAGCACCTGTGTTTTGAAATACCACTCAGACCAGTCCACATATTTAATGAGATTAATTCAACTGCTCAAATAATATATAATTCTCTGCATGTGAGTGTATGTATATCTATATGAATGTGTTATGTATAAAATACTATAATCCTTTGCATTTTAACAAAAAGTTACCATTTAAAAAATTAAGTTATTTGTATGAAAAATGCCTATGTGGTCTTATATTCTTCATTTGGCAGAAATGAATTATTTTAACAATACATTCACACAGTTTTAATAAGCATATTATTGAACTAGTTATTGATACTTGTATTTGCTTTCCATTGAAAAAAAATCACATTTTAAATCAAAATTGGTAAATTATTAGAAAATAAATAGACTGCCACAAATGAAAAGAACTTTGATAACTTTGTGAAAACAGGTTGTGTTTAGTGGCATTTTTAAACAAGTAACTCCTAGGAAAGATTATTGGATATTAATATATACTAATGAAAACTCTCCAGAATCAAGAATTGAGTGTACCCCAAAGTATCTTCTGTCTTTTCACCTTCTAAAACCAATTCTTCAGGACACATGAGAGGTATGCTGCTAGGGAAGATGAAAAAGACAGCCTCACTACCTAACCTTGTGGGTTTTGTTCCCTTGACTTTAAGAATAAAAAGAATACTTTGTTCTTCTTTATCAATGCCATTCTGACGCTAGTGCAATAAACAAGCGTACAAAAGCAATTTTCTGTTTTGATGCCTATTTCAAAATTGTCAAGTTAACAGTATAATAGATCTAGCAAAATGTAAATTGACTCTGAAAACCAGTATCAATCCAAGGACTGTATAATGCTTGCATTGTCTAACTTGAGTTCCCTACTTTTTGTTTTGTCTATAGACACCCTATTTTTGGCCATCAAATTGTTGGGAGCCGGAAAACACAGACTATGGTCAGTGTAGAAATCTTTCCTATTTCTTTTGGGAATTATGTATTATATGAATGAACTCATCATTGCAGTCTGTCTTGTTTAATCATCCCACTGTTAAAAACATAATTATATGTCATGTAATTCCTGTGCAAGAATTGCTGATATTGAAATGAATGTGTTGTTACCTTTTTCAAAGTTTATTAGAAATTTATGAAAGTCAGATTTGGAGTTGATCTTAGGGAAAAAAAAAAAAAGCCTCAAAACTCATCAAAATTGACCTTGCCATTTGCATCTCCTGCTAGCTCCAGGAAGTGTAATTATTTACAATGACAAAGTCTCAGTGAAGCAGAGGACACTTTATTGATGGTTATGCAATAACTGTTCTCAGATTCAGACCCAAAGATGTGCCTAGTTTAGATATTTTATTTCTGATACACACTTTGTAGAAAATGATTTATTATGGAAACTAATATGGTTCTAATATGAACTATATTAGAAAATATCGTGTTTGCCTGTTTCTTGGGGGTTTATTCATAAATTGCACATTACAATTACTGATGCATGCTTAGACAGGAATATCTGAAGATAATACATAGTAAAGTATTACAAAAAAGCTCATAAAAATTATAACCAAAATTAGATGCCTCTGTACACCAAATAGTGACCTAATTTTTAAAGAAAAGATATTATCTATGACCAGTCATCTGTTCATTCTAATCCAGACTGTAAGTGCTCAGCGCATCTGAAGACCAAGTGACTTATTTAGGTAACAAAAGCTTGTATGTGCTAGCTTACCTTTTCAAAAACTCAAACTTTGAAAGTCTCTATTTACAGCTTTTTGGAAATTCAGATGCATTTTCACTTGTAATATGGATTCAGTCTCAGCCCGTGGGAGCTAAAGGCCACAGGGGTGGATATGTCCAATAGAAGCTTCCTTTCTTTCCTCAGTGGACACAGTTTAATTTCAAATACATTGCTAAATAAAGCAATTTCAACCTGAGACTCTCAGCAGAGCTGAGTGCCTTCAAGGTAGAGTTTGAAAACAATGACAGTTTCCTCATCCTATAGAAGGAGAAAAATGTTCATCTTTCTTTAAAATATTGACCTTGAAGATGTCCAGCAGTAGTTATTGAAAGCTACAAAGGAGGAGTAATTCATACCAGACCTGAGTGATTAACCACTCCATAAAAGGTTATTAGTTGCTGAAGGAGAAATGCTTGATTTGCCACCTATTACAATGTTTTTTCCTTTCCTTGAAAGTGTTACTTGCTTTTCTCAGAGGGGCACTTCAGTGTGGTCTCTTAATATGTTAAAGATCAGAAAGTGATTTACTGTGGTTTTAGGAGACATTGAGTCGTTCAGCTGTAATGTGTTTTACATTACTGGGGGATTTTAGTAAATAAATGTATGCTTAACAGGTCTGAACTTGACATCAGGCTGAGAAAGTTTCTATTAATAGCCTTTAATGTAAATTTGGAGACACTAACTCTCTAGTCCCAGCTAATCACTGGATTGGGCAATGAATTACATACCTTAGTCAGTACATAGAAATCTTACATAATCTGTCCAGGTTTTGCATGCCAGAAATACAGAATTAAACTTGGGATCAGTTTCTTCATCCTGCATGGAGGTGCCTTTGTTGAACAGTAAAAGTACTCAATTGAGAGCTTTTGAGATTTCAATATAAAACCTGTAAAATACGTACCAGTTGGTGAATTAAAGCTCTTCTGTTGCAGAGGGGTGAAGGAAGGGAAAGCCCCAACCCTGCCGTCTTATTGCCTCTTCCAGTCATGAGCCAAAGGTGCAAGCCTGTAAGAAACTCGCCCGCAGCTCCCCCATGCAACAGGGTCAGAGCATTGCACTAGATCTGCCTGAGGTGGCTGTGTGTCGCCAGAAATGGCTAACGCTACAGCATTTGCAGGAAAATTAATTTTTAAGAAAACTTTTCAATTGTGTTCTTATTAGCTTAGCTTCTTCGCAGTCCCACAAATTAGCATTTGCCTTGTGGCCTGAGGATTTTTTTCCGATACCTTTCTATGAATATAAAGAGAGGGCAGATAAGCAGAGAACTGAATACAGCTGCTTGCAAAAAGGATCACATGACTGTTGTAAACAACAGTCATCAGAGGAATACAGAAAAATCAAACAGATAACATTCAAGAGTCCAAAGTAGTTCTAAAGTAGGATTGAAATAATTTGAGGATATTAAAGCATAAATTCCACCTCAAATACAGTCCAAAGAGGTTCTGCAGATTTTCACAGTAATTCTGTTACTTCCTAGAAAATATAATAAATAGAATTCATGTTATTACAGATATGCAAATGCATGCTGTACTTATCATGTATTATGGTGCTGTGCAGTGCTTCATTTTTCATGGACTTGTCCTGAACAAACTTGAAACTGTACTTCCTAAAACTAATGACTGTGGCAGACATTAGGAGCCTTTCAAGGCCAGCAAGAAGTAGGCTTTCTCTCTAATCTTCTTTATCAAAGTTATTAACAAAGCAAACCACTCTCTTTGGTTTTGACCTAATTTTACAAGTCTTTGAAAACACACTACAATTTTAATTTAATTTAAAAATTACTCCAACCATTTACCATTACTCACCCATAGCTGGGCTACTGTCCAGAATGTAGCATACTGGCAGGAAAATAATTAATCTTAAAGTAGAAATTAAATGAGATTGAGATACTGCATGTGTTAGTTTATTACCAGAGCTAACTCAGAAAGAAATAATCTTTACATCTTTCTATAATGTGTTAATATCTTCTCTAAAATATAATTTCTTATTCCACATGAGCTTGTAATATCAAATATTTTCATTAAAATTTATCTGAAGAAAATGTGGTGAAAAAAGACCTGAAAACAGAATCCTTCAAAATCTCAAGAAACTGCAGATCTATTCCCATAATTAAACAATGGTGCAGCACTATGTCTTGGGGCAAAAAGAGGTCTTGGATTAATTTATTGTATGTCAAAGTGGAATTGTGTAGCCATTGGTTTTGATGGTAACTATCAAAATATTGACCATCTGGTCATTCTGAGGTTACTAAGAAACTGTTAATTTTCACAAAGTGCTGAAAATCTCCCTCCCTTTTTCTTGAAAATAGTTCTATAAGAGATGTTAAGAGAGAGATGGCTCAAATTGCAAATAATTTTTTAAAAGGCAGGTTTTTAGGTTCCATCTGTTGAAGATACCCGTTTTAATGCCATATGTCTTGGAGTCCACCCATGGGGGACGTGTCGTTCTGTGCAGAATCCCATTGGTTTCAGTGGGATTTTATTAATGAAAAGAAGCATGCACATTAATATTTTTTTTTATTTTTAAGGCTAGTGTAGTTCAAATCACTTTGCATTTCCTGTGAATTAAGTCATATTCCTGAATTACGGTCTGGTTTTCTGAGAAATAAAATTGGATCCCAATTCAGAAAACTGGCCCTGGAAACAAATACACCTAATGGCATAACAGGTGACCTACCTGTAATCATCTTCTCTTTTCTTACAGGTGTAATTTTGTAACTGACAGTTTTTTCTGGCAGATTAAAAACAGTTCATGTCATTAAGAATTAATTAAATATGGAGACTTGTTAGTCCATTGCATCTCAGAAAGGGGAAATATAATGCCACATAGGAAATTGTTATTCCATATGCATTTGGCTTCAGTTCTCATGGGACCCGTCAGGTTCTCCTGGAGGTTGTGACTCACAGCTGTTGAAAATTTGAGGAATTCAGTTCCTTACTCTTCTCTTGTTTGAATGAGATAAATAAGAAACACAAAAGGTTAGGGGAAAATTCCATTGACAACAAAATAGTAATTATTTTTTGTGTTTGAAAAGCTCAAGCCTAAGCAAACAAATGAACATAGTTGTGACAATGTAAGAAGCTTATAAGAATTTCAGACATATAAGATACCAAGAAGAATTAGTAACTTTTAATCATTTTCTCTAGTGCACTTTTGTTAATGGTTAGACTCAAAAGTGTCTGTGACATACAGATCTTTTCTTGCAGTTAACTACATGTTAAAAAAAAAATATGTTCAAAGCAGAGACACAATAAAATTTTGAAAGTGCCACAGTCACTTAAAGTATTAAGGAGGTCTGGATACTAGAAGACAACAGTCAACTGCATCTGTATAGTTGCAAGAGGATGCTCTTTGAGCCTTGTAATTTTATGTGTGTGTATTTCTCCCAAATGAGTTAAAAATAGAGGAGATTTGCAGAATCTTGGTAGGTTATGGAGAACATAGTAAATATATGATAATGCAACATGCGTTTAAGAGCACATGGCCATGTGATCTGTAAATGATGCTAAATGAGACAATTTTTGTATACATTCAAAGCAAATTCTTAAGTTCTTGTGCTGTGAAGAAGGACAAGTTTTGAAAATGTACATATTTTCAGTAGCCTTCCAGGTAAAGTCATGTGCTGTAAAGGCAATCTTCTAGGAAATTACAGCACTTACAGGAAAAAAAAAAAACAAAACAAAAAACTACCTTAATTAAGTAGTCCCTTTAAAAGTGTAAGCTCCCTGTCTGGATAAGTGCTGCTTGTAAACTTCTGTGGCAGTTCTGTAAATATTCATGACTCTGTTATCCAGTTTGAATTACAGTAAAATAAGGAAACCATTTTCTTTTGCTATGTGAAAGTTGTTGCCTCATAGCTGTTGTTTTCCAGCACTTTTATGAAAGCAAAAGTCTGTGCTTTTTAAATTTCCTTGATAATCACCTAACCACTCCATCCATAGAAAGCTTCCATCCTAATGATACCTTCTTATTGCTTAAGAGTAAACTGAGAGAGACCTCTCTGTGTTCAGCCTTTGCTGCTCCGTTCTGAACATGAGCCATCACACCTGGCTCATCTGCCTCTCTTCTGCCAAACATGCAGTCGTAGAATGGTATAGCCATAGAATAGTTTGGGTTGGAAGAGACCTTTAAAGGTCACCTAGTCCAACCCTCCTGCAATAAGCAGGGACATCTTCTAGTAAATCAGGTTGCTCAGAGCCCTGTCCAACCTAACCTTG